GCCCAGGAGTGCGGAGCCGCGGACTTGGGCTGGAGTTTGGGCAGGAAGGGGCCGGGGGTGAGGGGAGCGCGGCAGGGACGCCCCGGTGAGCCCCGGTCCCGCCCGGCCGTCAGCACCTCCGAGAGCTCCGCGGCCGCGGGGCCGCCGCCGCCGGCGCAAACTCCTCCCGGAGTCTTCTGCTAACACCTCCCTCCGGATAAACATCCACCGATCTCGCGGTTCACAAACCCGGCAAGCATCCTCTTCCAGAAATATTCAGAAAGTTTCCCGGCTGAATGCGACGTTGTGCCTTTTTTTTTTTTTTTAATAAATCTCCTCCTTTCTCATCTTATTCAACCTCTTTTCAGTCAGAAGCATAACATGTCCACTAGCGTCTCGCAGCCGGCGAGAGAGCGAGCGAGCAAAGATGGACCTAGGAGCATGATGATCATCATAAAAATCCCCTCGGTTCTCCAGTGCAATTTTCAAAACAACAACCCAGCCTTCGTGCTGTAAAGGCGAAACGCCTGCGTCTGTTTACATCAACTGTGTGCTCCGAAAGCCTTTCCCCTCTGTCTCAATCCAAGGGAGGGGAGGGGAGGGAGGGAAAAGAAAAAAAAAAAAAAAAAAAAAGGGGAAAAAAAAAAAAAGGGAAAAAAAATAAAAGAAAAAAAAAAAAAAAAGAAAAAAAAGCCAGCATTATCTGCCTTTGTCAGCGAAAGAACATAATATTGACTTACCTTTCCCCACAGCTATTGTCTGCCCCTTTACAAAATGACATCACGGAAACCAATCATGAAATTTGCATGGGGGAGGTTGTGGGGGGAGAGTTCTTGGAGGGCAGCCCACTTCCCTACACCAGTAACACGCGTGTAAGACGGGTTGTTGGTTTCAATTAAATATCTGATACTCCTTAGTGTGTGAACTCTTAAGCCTGCTAAAGGCAATGTCTCATTTACTTAATGACCGCTCTCATTAATGGAAATGGCACAGAGGGGGCTTGCTGCGCCTTCCCTTTGTAAATACACTACCCATGAACCCTTGGGGTTGCAATATATCTGTTTACTCTCTGAGGTGAAATAAATTTACAGTATAGCATCAAAGAGAGCGAGCGAGGGAGATGGAGCGGCTGCCTTGAGTGCACCCAGAGTTGGGGCTCTACGGCCCCGCCGGCCCCTCTCTCCCGGCGCTCCCCCCTCCCCGAGCCCCAGCAGAAGGTGAATGATTTTACCCGAGCTGATTCATAATTAATATGCACGAGGCTCGGGGCTCCTCTGACAGCAGCAGCACAAAAGGACGGCGAGAGCGACGAGCGCCGTTCCGCGTCCCCCCCGCGCATCCCGGCGCGTGGTACGGCCCAATAATTCCTAATAGCAGCAAGCAGCGAGTGACAGATGCCCTGGGTTAGCACAGCTCCAGCGAAAGTACTTTACAATATTTATTGGTGGTTAGGAAGATGACCTATCACCATAAAGAACAGACCGGGAAATTTATCGCCTCTATGAACCTGGAAGTATTGCATATTAGCTGATATACATATTCAAAAGGCGGTGGTTAAAAGGTGTATAAATATTTTAATTTTTTTTTGCCTCCCCTTAAAATCGAAAAAAAAAAAAAAAGAAAGAAAAAAAAGAAAGACACAATATATTCCCAGCAGACAACTCCTCACCCCGGGGAAAGTGGTTTACATTTTATATTATAGATGTTGGGATGGGAATAAAAACATAAGGAAAAGTCCTAAAAGAAAACGGCGACTAAAACAGTGTAGGGTTTTTTTTTTCTAAGTGATAAAAGTGCACGTTCTTGCATTGTGCATCTTTTCCTCCCAGAAGGAGTCATACTTTCCAGGAGTTAGCATCATCTTTCCTTGAAAATGCTTGTTTCGTGGCGGCGCGGCCACCCCGGGAGCAGAAAGCCCTGGCCGAGCTGGAGGGAGGGAGGCTCTGGGGAGAGCCCCCGGAGCGGCAGGAAGGGCATTAGCACATCCCATCCTGCCCGCTGCCAGACGGGAGCATTAGCACTTGGATCGCAACTTTTCGGAAATAGCGAGGGAAAACACAGCCAGGCTGCAGCCCCACGGGCTGGGAGGGGAGCGACACTTTCCTGCCCAGCGCTTTCCCCCGCACCCTCGTGCCATCCCCAGCATCGCCGAGACAATTAAGACTTTCCTGTCATCTTAATGAAGATTTCCAAAAAGATGCGGGAGCTCACAAATGGACAGAAACCCCAGGAGTGCTCGGAGAGCTGAGGCAGAGCCTGGCAGGGAAAGCTGGATCCTGCTGAGGATGCGCTCTCCTGTGGGAAACTCCAGCTCCGGAGCTGCGCGGGCCCCAGGCTCCTCTCCTGCTCACCCCCACCCTGGGCGGGTTAGGGGCAGGCAGGGGTGGGAAAAGCCCCTCAGACTGCCCAAAACCTGGCAAGTTTAGCTTGCAGATCAGTGTCACTCACAGGCCATTGCAGGGCACATGGCAGGAAGGAAGGATTTGATTTCCCGTCTCAGGAATTTTATTGGTGAGAGGGTGGCAGAAATACTAATTTTAAACTGTTGAGGCCGCTTTGGAGGTTGTTAGGATGCCCATTTCCATGGCTTGCCAGTCTGGTGTGCTCCTAAACCATTAACATAAAGGAGATATTCAGCAGAGAGCACTCCTGAAAAGCTGTTTTCTATCTCCTTTGGACACACCACGAAGACAGGGATATTTTACATCCTAAACCTTTGGCATTCAGAAATTCTATTAAACTCTTATCTGCAGGCAGCAGGCCTGGTGCTACACTGCATCTCCATTGTTCTGCACCCGCGATAGAATCAAAGGGAGGGCTGGGTGGACTCGGCTCCCCTCCGCTCACAATGCTGCCTGCTCCTCTCCACCGCTGCTTCATTTAGAGCCCTAATGCTAAAACTTGAGAAACAAAAGCACAATAGATTCGGCTGGGAGGCAGCAGGGAAGTGTGTTTACTTGCGTGTGCTCCCCCATAAATTGGAGCACACGCAGCCTGCATGGATATGAGCACACACATGTGCCTCTCCGAGCGTTAAGAGAGGGATTTTATTACTGCTGCTGTTGCATTTATTAACACGCCACGCACCTACGAGCCCTAAGGCAGCTGACAGCTCTGATAGCATCCGGCTGAGCTCTGGGCTGCCAGAGGGTGTTTGGCTTTTCTTTGTTCCCAAACTCGCCAGACTTCCCCCTGCTCCCCTCCCAAAACGCTGCAAAGAAGCGGCGCCTCTCCCGGAGTTTCTCACTGCCACCAACTTCGGCAGCGGCAGGAATTCCCATCTCGCAGCCCCCGAATCCCTTCCTACCCCCAGAAAATCTCCGGCTCAGGCCAAAAGCCCCACACCCCGAGCGGGAGGAGCCCGCGGGGATACGCCAGGCCACGCGTGGGCTCCGGGCGGCGGGTCAGCACCACGGACAGCTCCGCCTGCTCCCTCCTGCGCAGTTTCGACCTTTTAAAGTATTTTCCAGCCATTTTAAAAAGTGCTTCTCCCACACGCACTCCCTAAACCTCTCCAGAGTCGCTCCACAGCTGTTTTCAGAGAGGAGATAATCATCGTGCGTTTCCAGGTCTCAAAGAGCCGTGGCTTCCCTGAAGGGAGCCGTGCGGAAAAGAGGTCTAAAATAAATGTTCATGTATTTTCATCTTCAGGGGGTTTAAGACGGGGGCTCGGAGAGTCCCTGCCTGCAGGGTGCCTGCAGAGCCGAATCCAGAGAGGATTTTTAAAAGCAGATTCCCTTCACGCCCCTCCCCTGCTCTCCATGCCATTTTTTTCCCCCTCATGTTTTCAGATCAAGCTCTCGAAGTTCGAAATTATTTAAAATAGAACTCCATTTGCTTGTGTAAACACAGCCATAAACCCACCGCACTGTGTTCCACTGGCTTCTTTGAGTCTGTTTCAAAGAAAATTAGATCTCGAACTTTACGCATTTGTAATTGGCACCAACTTCTCCGGTTACCAGCTGGGGGTGAAAGATTTTTTTTTTCCTTGTTTCTTTCTGAAAGCTTCTATGCAGATGGGCTGGCTGCCTTAATGCCTCAGACTACAATTAGTGCTGTTGTATGCCGAATAGAAATGGCCAGCATTAATATTGTATATGGAACAGCTGAAGGGTTGCGAAGAAACCTGCCCACTACAGGCCCCTGGCAGATGGAACAACATGCACAGGCACAAAAAAACTTTTAATAACCCTTTGCTCGCTCTCCAGCTCGCCCCTTCGCTCCGATTTGGGCGGGTCCTTCCCGAAGAGGCAATGCCTTTGTCTAAGCCAAATCTAGAGCTCTTTTCTCCCTGAAGAACAATAATTGGAGCAATCACCATCTTTTGCAAAAGGCACCTCGCATTATCCCAAAAGTTCCTCCTTTGTGCCTCGGGTAATGCAGGCGCTGAAACACGCACCCAGCTGAACGGGCACGAACTAACTTTTTATTTAATAACATCGCCCTCACCCCTTTCTTATCCAGCAATGTGCAAGATGGGTAGAAAAAGAGCCCATAAAGCCAAACCAAACCAACCAGCACCCCTTTGCCCGGCAGAACTGCGACCAGAAGCTGCAGAAAATAGGATTTTCTCGTCGTTCTCCTCCCCTACGCTCCTGGTCCTTTGCAATGAGGCGAAACCCGCGGCAGCGGGCACAAAGCCCCGCCGGGGGCTCGGGGCAGCAGCACCGGGGGCCGCGCACCCCCCGCTCCTGGAGCCCCTCGCAGCCGAGCCCGGAGCGCCGGGGGACGGGCGGGGTGAGACCGGCACCTCGCTCGGGCAACGCAAACCCGGGAGACCTGCGCCCCCAAAATGTACTCGGGAACATCTTTCTACCGCCTAATGGGGGGGAAATACTGTAAAACAATGAGGGGTGGTTTGCGGGTCCGCACTCCCCTGCCCTCGGCCACCGAGCCCCTTTGCCACGGCAGAATTGAGAAACTCAAAGAGTTTTAGAGGAGAAACGAGGGAGACACACGAAGGAATATCCTCCCTACGCTCCCACCGCACCCCCCGCCTCCGCCGGCGAACGGCTACGAACCGAGGAAAGTCCCGCAGAGCTTCATCCTTGCCGGGTGGCGGTGGCTGCCTGGCCCGGGGTGGCGGGGGCAGCGGGCGCGGAGCCGCCCGGGGTTACTCCATCATCCCTGGGAAAAGTTCCCGTCCGGAGCAAAAACTTATGGGCGGCGGCGGCCAATGGGGCCGCGCCGCAAAATCCTCGCAGCGCACTCGGCGGCCAATCCGCTCCCCCCCGGGCCGGGGATGCGCACCCCCCTCCCGGTCCCTCCCGGTCCCTCCCGGCCCCTCCAGGCACTCCCGGCCCCTCCCGGCCCCGCTCCGGGCTGGCGGCGGGGGGAGCAGGGCAAGGGGACCCCTCCTCCCCATCGCATCCCTCCTGCCCCTAATTAGGGGACGGAAAAAGTGACAGCGGGCACATCCCAGCGCGGGGGGGTGGTGGGGCAGATGCACAACCCCAGGGGAAGCATCCCCAGAGAGCCCAGCCATGGAATGGTTTGGTGGAAGGGACATTAAAGATAATCTCATTCTCTCTCTGCCATGGCAGGGACCCCTTCCACTATGCCAGGTTGCTCCAAGCCCCGTCCAACCTGACCTTGAACACTTCCAGGGATCCAGGGACAGCCACAGCTTCTCTGTCCCTGTCCACAGCTGACCCAGTGCACAGGGACAGAGGGCACTGCCCTGAGGGAACCCACAGGCTGGCAGGGCTCTGCACAGCCAACAGCCACTGGACTCTCACCCTGAAGTCAATTTAGAAATGCACGAGTCTAAGGATGGTCACATAGAGCTTGTTGGGTTCTTTGGTCCAGTCCAGGGTGTACTGGGCAAGGGAAAGGGGGGATTGGTTCTGGGAGACATCCAGAATGGAAGAGGATGTCCCCTTGCCTCAAAGGACAGATGGCAACATTGGACTGAAGTGATCCCAGCTGGAGAAAACTGGATACAGGCCAGCAAGCAATACTCTCATTGGCCTCCCAGATGGAAAAGCAGGGAAATAGTTACCAGGAAATAATAATAATAATAATAATAATAATAATAATAATAATAATAATAATAATAATAATAATATGAAACAACTATGCAGGGACAGAACTGAACTTTGATGTCCCGTTGGTTTAGAGGGCAAAGTGCTGTCTCTAGGGTGTGGACCCTCTGCTCCCAGCTCATCACCTGAGGTTGAAACAAAGCCAGCTCTTTCCACGGACCAGCCCTGGTCTGAAGAGAAGGACAAGTGTCATTTCTGAAAATGAGAGAGAGAAGGGATTTCCTGGCAAAAATTGATTGTCAATGTAAAAACTCAGCCCCTTCACCTGGATGGACTAATAAGTGCATTTACAAAAAGAGAACAAACCTGGCCCAGTCTCAGCCAGGAACGGAAAGGGCAAAACCTGAGCTTGCAGGGACAGTTGGCACCAATAATAAGGAAGATGGGACAAAGCTGATGCTAACTGAGGGAGATTTGAAAGCAATTCATCTCGGCGGGACATGGCTGCATATTTGGATAATTTTTTTTTTATCAACATAGTGGGGGATTCAGTTGGAATAAAGGTTGACAAAGTGTGAAGAAAAAGAGGAGAATTCACTCTTTGAGGCAAGACCCTGGGCCAAACTCTTTGTTGAATACATCTAACTCCTTAATTCAGATTTCTTTGCAGGCAGAGAGCTGGAAGAGAGAGCAGGGAGGGAAAACTTTGATGGTTGAGGCAGAGGGGGTGTGAATATCAAAGTGCACCTTTTCTTCTACACATCCTTCATGGTCTTCTGCTGGTCTCAGGGAGGTCTGAGAAAATAACGATCACAATAATCATTATCATTGCCATTGGATTGAAAGTCAGGAGTTGGAGTCAAATTAAAAATCTAACTGTTGAATAGAGAGAGATCCTTACCCTTAAAAGGGCCTGGGTGAGGCTGCTGGGTCCTGCATCAGGCTGGGTAGGTTTGGGAAAGGAGCTGGAGCTGGGCCCTGGTACAGCTCCATCTGACTGCACAGCTCTCCACAGAAAGGGGTGTGACACCGCCCCTTTGGGGACTGGCACCTCTTCCCTCTTTGAATTAGCAGCTCTGCCTTTGCAGAATATTCTGTGCTTTATTGTCCCTTCAATCCCCACCTTGGAAGATGAGAGGTGACATTGCGGAGAGCTCTGCGCTTGGAAAATGACTTTCAGAATTACGTTCTGGCAATTTGAAACTTCCGCTCTCTCATCTTCAGCCTCTTGGGGCTTTAATGGGAGACAGCAAAGTGCCTCTTCCTCCTCCCCTCTTTTCTTTTCCTCCCCTGTTCTCCAGCAGCTGCAGCGGCCGGGATTCAGCAAGGTCACTCAACTCCATTGCTTCCTGCATGCAGGAGCTCTCAAATTAAGGGGTGTTGGGAGCAGCCTGTTGAGATGAAACAGCCTTCACTCAGCTCCAGCAAGCAAGGAAACAAAACCCCTTCACAGTGGCTCCAGACTGGCTCACCTTCCCTGAGCATTAGCTGGGGGAAAAGGTAAAGGCATGGAGGAGCAAAAAGCAGGATAAAAAGAGTCTGCAGAGCTGCTGTCTTTTGTCTAGCAGAGCAAGCCCCAAAATTTTATTAAAGGCCTTGTGGCTGCAGCTGCCTCGTCCACTCCTAGGTGTTTTCATCAGTATCTCACCCTGCTTCTTTTTTTCCCAAAATTCATGCTGCTGCCTCTCCTTTCCCCAGTTCAGTAGCGAGGCAGAGTTGGCCCCATCCATCCCCTGGTCTTGGAGCACAGTACAGAGGTGGGAGCTCATCCCTGTGAGCCCTGAGCTTGCCAGCAGTGTGATCCTCCTCCCAGGTGCCGCTGGTCTTAGTCCTGTGCGGGCATTAAGGGGAGCAGAAGAGAACACAAATGGGAATGGAGAAGAATCACAGAAACGCCACTCATATCTGGGTGGTTCCCTGCTGAGGGGCCTGGGAAGCCATGTGGCTCACACAGAAAAAGACCAAAGGAAATACCATCCCTTTGTAGTCTGATTTCTGTTGATGCACTGCCAAACTGGGAGGGGGTTACTGTTCCGTGTGTGCAGTTTTGCATCTGAAATAAATAAAATCACCAAGATATTTCTCTATGTACCCCAGCACCATCTCCCCTGGCCAATGGCAACCCCAGCTTTTCCACAAAGGAGGGGATAGCTCCAATTATCTGTTGACTGTTTTATTCTGTCTTAAATCCCTTTCATGGCTGCGTGAGGGAAAGCTGGAGAAGCCGTATGCAGATATTGTCAAGCTCAACTTGATAGGTACTGTCAAAACTGCCAGAGTGTGGTGACAATAAACATTTTAGCTGGCTAACAATTTGCTGCAAAAAGGGTTGACCCTGAAATCAAGTTCTGCTGTAATGAACACTTTGTCTCTAAATATTTGCATTTTTGCTGACAAGGTTCACTCTCCAGGAGATTTCCTCCGCCCGTGAACAATCTGCCTTCACACGAGATGCAGGATGGATGCAGTTTCCTGAGCCAGTTCCTTATCTGGCGTGAAGGAAGGATGAGCACATTCCCAAAATCAGCAGAGCCACTGTGGATGGGGGATACCCAACCAGGGGCATTGCTCAGTTCCAGGGTGCGGATCCCCCTCTCTTTTCTGTCAGGTTCTGCATGGCAGTGCAACACTGACAGCCCAAGGCTGGAATCAAGGCTTGTCCCTGCTTAACAGATGGGGAAATTGAGGCACGTGGTGATCCTGGATCATATTTGGACTGTCTCTGCTGAGCTGGAGGCAGAGCAGCCAAAAAATAGGCAGCCAAAGCAGACTGCCTGCTATCCATGGCTGCCCCAAACCAGCCATGGAGGAGGAGGAGGAGGAGGAGGAGGAGAGGAGGAGGAGGGTGAAGCCATACCAGAACTCTCAGCAGCTTCGGTTTGGTGCCCCCCTGCTCCATTCCTTCAAGCACATGGAGAGCTGGGGCTGCCCACCCTCAGGAGCTGCTGCTGACCCTTCCTCCCTCCTCTTCAAGGTGATTTGACCAAAGTTGCACAGAGAGTCACAGGCAGAGCTCAGTGCCAAAGATCTTCCTTAGCCCCAAGGCCAAAAGCCAGGCTGGCTCCACGGTATCAGAAATGAGGCTCAGAGCTCCCTTTCTGCAAAGGTTTGTGTGTTTGAGGGTTAAATTTCCCAGGTTTATGTGTTGGAGGGCTAAATGTCCCAGGATAACTCTGTCTTGGCCCAAGGGCTGATCACCACCTCGGTGTTTTTGTCTGCTCCCATTGATGATGGGCAAACAACTCTGCCCAATTCCCCAGGGACAAGGTGTCCAGCCTGGATGGGGTGGGGATTTACCTGCTCGGGGCATCTCTGTGGGATAAATGTCCTCCAGGGGGTCAAGAACCTTCTGTGCTCTGGACCGCTATAGGGAAAAGCTGCAGAGTTTGGTCCCACAGCCTCCAAGGTGCTGCATGTGGGAATGTCTGCTGACAGTGAACAAGGGGGTCAGTGCATGGCCTCAAGTCTCCCCTGTGACATTTGTCCCAAAGTCGAGCATGGGACAGAGAAATAGCCAGGAAAATTTGCTGGCTTCTTGCTTAGGACTTCAGTATCCCAGCTCCACTGCTGCACTTAATCCATAATATTGGGGGGAAAGTCCCCCACCACACAGGTTTTCCCACAGAGGGAGATGTGAATTCCATTTCTACTCCTGGCACTGATTTTTGGGGGGTGGCTGTGGGAAAGGATCTTCATTCATTTTCCCTCCAACACCTGGCTTCTCCATTTCAAATAAAAGGTGCTCAGAGCACATCCTGCCTCATAATACAACTATTATCTGTGCTTACCAGGCTGGGGCTGTGATTTGCTTGAGACCCCTAAATTCCTAGACAAGTGCCCAATAAATTGTAATAAATTGTAATAAATTGTAATAAAATGTAATAAAACTTCTTACTGTTGTAGAGAACTGTGGTTGGGGGAAACACAGAAAGAATCCTTATAGGTTTGAAAAAAAAGGCATAAAGGGGAGGAAAGCACAGCTTATTTCATTTTTATCTCCCTTTCCCCTCCCTGCTGCAAGGAAAGGCAATTTTCACTAGCACAGTGTTGTCATTTTGCCGAAGAAAAATTCACAGTTTTGGCCAGAGAGGAGTGTTTTCTTTGATATTCTTTTTTTCCACTCTGTTGG